TCGGTAACGATGTTTAACTGGAGATTAGTGTTGGTGAAAACGGCCCTTAGTATTTGAATTCATTTTATCTTTTGGTTGTTTACAATTTGCTGCTTTATGGCCTGTACGGTTACACGTTTCACATGTTGTTGTTGTTGTTGTTGTTGTAGCGGCTACGACAACCCCGCCCAGGACGGTTGGTATCTCAGTCGTTGTCGTCAAGCTCCACTAACGGCAACCCTAGGAAGCGTGCAGCTCCTGTGGGGTTTGTCCACAGGGACAAGGCCGTTAGGGTTGTCGGGTTTTCCGGGCATGCGAAGAGATTTTTCGAGTCATGTGGGGTCTCTCCGCATGCCGGACATCATTCGGCACATCCTCATTCAACCTACTCAGGTAGGAGTTCAACCTGCTGCAGTAGCCGGAGCGAAGTTGTGCAAGTGTTGTGCGTGTCTCCCGAGGCAGATGGAGCTCCATCGCGTCAATGTCCGGTGTTTGTGTGCCTAGAACGGCATTCACAGGTCTTGAGTCTACATAACTCGAGACTGAGTCCCTGTGAATGCCGTTCAGGGCCTGTCGGTAAGCTGTCGGGTCGAGAGGTTGCTTAATGAACCTCTGGACTTCGCCCGTCAGTTCATATAGATGCCTCCTGACGTGCCTAGGCGAGGGCTCCTCTGCAAGCAATACGTAGATATAGGTCCTTTTTTGTTTTCCACTTGCAATAATTTTAAATATTTATTATGTTCGAAAAGCAACCGTGGACGCCAGCTGGCAGTGAAGCTTGCAAATTATTGTTCGTGCTAAACTTCGTAAGTTTCTCTCTTTGGGAGTGTAAGATACCTTATGATCTGAATTGTATTGCTTGCCAATTCTTGCTGACTAATCCAAACGAGCGCAACTATTATGAGAAATGCCTTAAATAAGGTATCACTTTTTTAAAAGAATATGAGACTACACTAAATTACACTGTACAGTACTAAAAGACATAGAACTTACTTGCAGAAGCGTTTTCTCAAGCTGCTTTCGTAACGCCAGTTTTGCGGCTGCTTGCCTCTGTGCCGGTGTCAATACTTCATCACGAGACGTGCTACGATCACACTTAAATTATAATTCAAAATTTCGTTAGTAGTTTTCGCAACTTGAAAAAGTTGTTCAAATATATTGAGGAGTCCACATAATTTACCTTTAAATCGTGGTGTTGCTGCTGTTGATTTTGTTGCAGGTTTGATGTAGCAGGTGTGATAGAAACGGAGTTATTTATCATCCCAGATATCTTTGAATTGTCATTAATATTGCTCTGTGGTAGATTAATAAAAAAAATTATTTTAAAACATATTCCAAATTAAAGTATGTTTACATATAGTACGGATGTGTTTTGCTTCTGCTCTTGCTATTTAGTTTGTTAGTATTTTGTTCATGACTCTTACGGAAAGTGTAGCAAATCATTTGCGTGAAATGATACCTTAATTGTGCCGTGCGGTGGTTTTTGTCAAAAACAATTTCACCGTATTTGCTGTACGGTGTAGCCTGAATACGATGTCAGGCTATTTAACCAGAATAAAAGCATATCTGTTATCTTTGCCCAGAGTGTTTGCTCATGCCTGCAAAATTAATTACGTCTTTGATTCTTTTATGACCGCGCATAAAAATGGCTTAGACTCTATCGTAACCACAATAATGGGCCGATTTGATGAAATTCATAAAGAAATTGCTTTACTAAATTTAAAAAACAGTGAACACAACAAATATGTCTCATCATGTTTAAACCCTTTGTGTTTAGAATTCAGTGCCCTAAAAGATGTTGGCCAAGGTACATAAACTGTTAAATTGAACAACAACAAGAATAAGTCAAACGGTTTTTCTGACCTACGGAGAGCGAAGTCACCAACTTCGGCTATTGAAAATGTCTCACACTCTCAAAATGCTGTCAATACTGCGTGTGACGCTAAAACGCCTGTTCTGTCATTTTCTGAATCTTCGGGTTTTGGGAGTACCGCGATTGTTAACAATGCAACCTCACTTACTCCTCCTGAGGTGAACAATAATGTTACTTCCGATGCTTTGCCGTTGGCTTCTCAACAAATGCGGACTGCATTATCAGCTGATGAGTTCTGCGTTTGCAAAGAATGCGTCTTCATCTACTCCTGCTGACGTGAATGATGACACTTCTGTCGCTTTGTCATCTGTTTCTAAAAAATGCCGACAGCGTTAAACTGCAGACTATTTTCAAAATCTTCACTTGCAAAGTGATGCATGCAAATATAGAAAGTTTTAAATTGGAAATCCTTGCTTTGCCGGCAGAACTGGATCCACTTTTTCCTAAGTTCTGGATCTGAAGGAAAAGTAAACAAACTGCACTCTGCCGCCGTTTTTCCACATTTCGCAACTGCGCACTTCATTTTACAACGTTTTTATTTTATAACTTTAACAAAAATATCACAAATCAATACGTTTTCCTCGCAAACCAATACGTTTCCCTCGCAAACCAATACGTTTCCCTCGCAAACCAATACGCTTCCCACCAAAAATTTTATATTATGACGTCAACACTCGAACAGCTGATTTGTAAACAAGAGTAACGGACCTGCGCAAAGCGCAATCTCTTTATTCTATCATTCTTGTATTTCATCCATTACTTTTACAAGGCGATGTCCTAGGCGGTAGTCACCATCGGCTCTCTCTGCACTACCGTGATTATGGGCGCCCTCTGTCGTAGTTTTTCGCTATTCTGCTTACGACTGGTTCGACTCTGCACTACCATGTGCACGTGTACCACGCATGTGTACCACGGGTTAATAGAGTAGCTACTTACCTAGGAGTTGGTGCAGTAGCGGTTCAAAAGTAGCGATTGACTCCAGCAGTACTGGAGGGTAATTACTCAGGATCTGATTAATCAGAATCTGATTAATCTAATTATTTGATTGATCAGGATTATGATTAATTAAAAAATTGATTAACCGATAAATCGCACATACCTAATTTTCATTAAAAAATAAGAAAAAATTGTAATACTACGCATGCTTACATATCGTCCGCTTCACGTATCGTCCCGTTGTTGCAATATTTTGTGACCCAAGTTTCAAAACACGTTTTTTCTGACATCAATAAAGCTAAAAACTGGATAAAGCTTAAATTGAAGAGGGAGATCATTAGGATATTTGGCAATGCTTTGACGAAATCGCCAATGGTTGTGATGCCGATTCCAGTTTTGTAGTGATGTGGGTAGACAAGGCAGCGACCGTACAAGAAAACCGCAGCGATTTAGAAATGTAGAAATATTTGCAGCTACCCAGTGCACGGATTTCGAAAAAAATAATAGTGGTAGATTTTGCATACAAAAATTAGGAGAAGTCGGTAGATTTTTTTTACGAAACGATACATATTAGATAGTTTTTACTCATATAGGATAAATGAAGGCGAATTCAGGCAAGATGGGGTTACCAGAGCAGCTGGATTTTTGCCTCGGTGATTCTTAATGTCAAAAAGGTGTATTTGTTGTAATTCTTAGTGCCATTATGCATACAATTTGTTAGTGGTATTTTTGTTTTTGAACTTCTGCTGTCACCTTATGTGAATTCGCCTTGGAATAAATTGTAATTTTTTATAAAACAACAAAAAATATATTTCACGCGAATAAAACATTTAACAAAAAACGTATATGTACATAAAACTGAATAAAAAAAATACCAGCTTGTTTATCTCAAATGCATTTTAAATTGAAAAAGCGAAATCGCTACCAAATGCCGTAATCTCATAAGGAAATTTCCATCCGAATTTGATTCGATCACGGATGCCTTGATTCTGGCTCTGTATTACATAAAAACAAACAATTACTCTTCACTTAAAAATTGCTTGATTAAAATTAGTTTTGAAATGCTTGAAGTTTGCAGACCATTCGTTTGGCAGTCTTTTACAAGAAACGTATTGCAAACGGAAAATATTTCCATAAACAGCTGATAGAGATGCGATTTCACTTTTAAATTGGTTATGGTCAGAGTTAACTACCCATATTTATTTTAGGTGTGTTCGAAGACAAAATATGTATACACTGCGTTCATTAAAATCTCTTTGCTTTCTTTCCGAAAAATATTGGTAGATTTTTAGATTTTGTTGGTAAAAATGGTAGAAAATAAAATACAGCTAAAAAGTTGGTAGATCTACCAATAAAGTGGTAAAGACCGTGCACTGCAGCTACCCCTTTACCCAGACAAAATGAACGTTTAATTTGGTGGAAGCATATCGCAAAGAACTTCGAAATTTTGTTTACACTGATAACAGAAACATGGATAACAAACATACGGATAACAGAAAAACGGCCGGATTCCGGATATCTACCGGATACCCGGTCCATCCCTAGTTATTTGCAAACCCGTGTAATCAACAGAAATGTATTTCTGTTCGGGAAGTAGAGACATTCACATCAGTAGAGGGAGGTATAGACATCACTAAAGACTCATTTAAGAAGCAATATCAGTTCGGTTCGCTATGCAAGAAACTTGTAAAAGCGTGAACAAGTTGTTACCAAGTCGTGTTCGTTTTGGACAAAAAACTTGCAATACAAATTTGACATTTCATTTACGGACGAATTTGGGAATTCATGCTGGGGAAATTTTCGCCAGCAACAATTTGCAAGCACACGGTTGGATTTTTGTCAGTGACTTCCACAAAGAAATTGAAGCGTATGTTGAAGAAAGCCAAAAAAAGAAGAAATATACGTAGATATAGGTCCTTTTTTGTTTTCCACTTGCAATAATTTTAAATATTTATTATGTTCGAAAAGCAACCGTGGACGCCAGCTGGCAGTGAAGCTTGCAAATTATTGTTCGTGCTAAACTTCGTAAGTTTCTCTCTTTGGGAGTGTAAGATACCTTATGATCTGAATTGTATTGCTTGCCAATTCTTGCTGACTAATCCAAACGAGCGCAACTATTATGAGAAATGCCTTAAATAAGGTATCACTTTTTTAAAAGAATATGAGACTACACTAAATTACACTGTACAGTACTAAAAGACATAGAACTTACTTGCAGAAGCGTTTTCTCAAGCTGCTTTCGTAACGCCAGTTTTGCGGCTGCTTGCCTCTGTGCCGGTGTCAATACTTCATCACGAGACGTGCTACGATCACACTTAAATTATAATTCAAAATTTCGTTAGTAGTTTTCGCAACTTGAAAAAGTTGTTCAAATATATTGAGGAGTCCACATAATTTACCTTTAAATCGTGGTGTTGCTGCTGTTGATTTTGTTGCAGGTTTGATGTAGCAGGTGTGATAGAAACGGAGTTATTTATCATCCCAGATATCTTTGAATTGTCATTAATATTGCTCTGTGGTAGATTAATAAAAAAAATTATTTTAAAACATATTCCAAATTAAAGTATGTTTACATATAGTACGGATGTGTTTTGCTTCTGCTCTTGCTATTTAGTTTGTTAGTATTTTGTTCATGACTCTTACGGAAAGTGTAGCAAATCATTTGCGTGAAATGATACCTTAATTGTGCCGTGCGGTGGTTTTTGTCAAAAACAATTTCACCGTATTTGCTGTACGGTGTAGCCTGAATACGATGTCAGGCTATTTAACCAGAATAAAAGCATATCTGTTATCTTTGCCCAGAGTGTTTGCTCATGCCTGCAAAATTAATTACGTCTTTGATTCTTTTATGACCGCGCATAAAAATGGCTTAGACTCTATCGTAACCACAATAATGGGCCGATTTGATGAAATTCATAAAGAAATTGCTTTACTAAATTTAAAAAACAGTGAACACAACAAATATGTCTCATCATGTTTAAACCCTTTGTGTTTAGAATTCAGTGCCCTAAAAGATGTTGGCCAAGGTACATAAACTGTTAAATTGAACAACAACAAGAATAAGTCAAACGGTTTTTCTGACCTACGGAGAGCGAAGTCACCAACTTCGGCTATTGAAAATGTCTCACACTCTCAAAATGCTGTCAATACTGCGTGTGACGCTAAAACGCCTGTTCTGTCATTTTCTGAATCTTCGGGTTTTGGGAGTACCGCGATTGTTAACAATGCAACCTCACTTACTCCTCCTGAGGTGAACAATAATGTTACTTCCGATGCTTTGCCGTTGGCTTCTCAACAAATGCGGACTGCATTATCAGCTGATGAGTTCTGCGTTTGCAAAGAATGCGTCTTCATCTACTCCTGCTGACGTGAATGATGACACTTCTGTCGCTTTGTCATCTGTTTCTAAAAAATGCCGACAGCGTTATTGTTGTTGTAGTGGCTACAACAACCCCGCCCAGATCGTTTAATATCTCAGTCGCTGTCGTGAAACTCCACTAACGGAAGCCCCAGGAAGCGTGCAGCCTCATTGGGGTCGGTACACAGGGACAAAGGCGTTAGTGTTGTTGGGTTTTCCGAGCATACGAAGAGATGTTTTGAGTCGTGGGGTGTATCTCCACATACCGGACACTCATTTGGCACATTTGCGTCTAATCTGCTCAGGTATGAGTCTAACCTGCTGCAGTAGCCAGAGCGAAGTTGGGCTATTTTAGTTCTGGCCTCCCGAGGCAGATGAAGCTCCGTCTCGTCGATGTCCGGTGCTTGTTGCCTAGAACGGCATTCACAGGTCTGGAGTCTACATAACTCGACACTGACTTCCTAAGAATGCCGTTCAGGGCCTGTCGATATGCTGACGGGTCCAGAGGCTGCTTAATGAACCTCTGGACTTCGTCCGTCAGTTCGTAGAGATGCCTCCTGACGTGCCTGGGCGAGAGCTCTTCTGCAAGCAAGTGTCGTTCGGGCGACAACACAAGACATCCAGTCGCTGTCCGAAGAGCAGTGTTTTGAGTCGTCTGCAGCTTCATCCACTGCGTCCTACTGGTCCCCGGCGACCACACTGGTGCTGCGTAATTGTAAACCGACCGGCCTATTGCCTTGTATGTTGCCAGCAACGTTTCTTTGTCTTAGCCCCAAGTACTGCCGGCTAGCGACTTGAGGACTTTGTTGCGGCTCTGTACTTTGTTTACAATAGCGGTTGCGTGCGCAGAGAAGGAGAGCAGACCGTTGAAGGTTACTCCGAGTACTTTTGGGTTATTCACCGTCGGAATTGGTGTATAATTGACGTGAATTCCCAGCGGTAGTCTGACCTTCGTAAAGGTGGTGAACAAGGCCTCAGAGGATTTTGTAGGGGAGGGGGTTAGGCTCCTAGCAGTGAAGAAGTGAGAAATCTCGGAGAGATAATCGTTTGCTTTCGAGCACAAGTCATCAATTCCATTCCCAGATGCAAATATCGATCAATGGTCAGCATAGGAGACAATCGGGACTCCCTCTGATGGTTGAGGGAGCTTTGAAATATAGTAGTTAAACAGTAATGGGGAAAGGAAACCGCCCTGTGGAACCCCCTGTTTTATTTTTCTAGGTTTGCTCGATTTGTCTCTAAACATTACTGACGAGTGGCGACCACTTAATAATTCGCCGACCACCGTTTGAGCCTCTGTGAGAGAGCGGAGGCCTCTATGTCTTCTAGCAGCGAGGAGTGGCTGACAATGTCAAACGCCAGATCAGATCCAACGCTACTCGAGTACTTCTCTCACAGGGACAGTTGCGGTTTAAGCCGCATGTTATCTGCGTGTTTATGGCTTTAAGTTCTGTTGTTGTACTGTGCCTGATGCTTCGCTGGGGTCAGGCGGTTCGTGAAATAGGGGAGCAGGAAGTTCCTCTATTGTCTTCGTTACTGGGGAAAGGAGTGTTATCGGACGATAACACTCTCCTTTGTTGGCTGGTTTCCCGGTTCTTGCAATGGGACGACTCTCTCCCCATCTTCCAGGCGTCTGGGATGATTATAGTGGCCATTGACAGATTGAGGTCCTCCGTTAGGTACGCTACTCCCGCCAGGACCCAAATTTTTTAGCATCAACATGCATATTCCGTCCAGCCCCATGCCTTTGGAGGCTTTCGCCTTCCCGATGGCTACCCGAACTTCACCGCTAGTGAAAGCAAGAGGGGCACAGGTTCTTGGCAGTTTGTGCAGCCTTCTGGTCACTCGACGCTTGGCTTTGTCCGCCGGAGGATGCAGTATGAATTGCAGGCTAAAATAGCTCGCTAAAAGAAATTTCGACCCTGTCGTCGTGCTTCGTCGGATTGGACAGTAACTTCACGGTTGACCAAAGCTTACTCACACCAGAGGCGTAGCTAACAGTCGGTTGGTTTATCGATCGAGATGACTATGGGCAGATGGACTGATGGCAAAGTCAGCATATGTCGCCATGATACGCTGTTTATCAGACCAGCGCTGACTATTGTTGTCTGGCGAGCTGCAGCAGTTGGCCATAATCCTGGTGGGTGCGTCGTCACTCGTTGTGCAGAATGTCGAATCGTCAATCTGCTCAGCCAAGTCTGTTCCCCTGCGATCGTTTGACAGGCTTGAAAGCCAAAGATCGTGGTGCGCATTAAAGTCAGCTACTACCATACGGTTTTCACCTCTGAGGGGCGCACCTATATCAGGCTGATATCCTGCCGGGCAGCAGGTGACGTTAAATATTTCGACAGCAATGCCCTGACATTCTAGGGTGGTATCCCTGCGGTCGATGTCAGCTTCGATAAGACGATACTGCACGGTGTGGTGCGTGATGAAAGCTACACCACCACCACTATCTCGCTCGCGATCTCGACGGTGCACGTTGTATCCGGCGCAATTCAACAATGTCGAACTGCTGTGCAACTTCTTTTCTTGGATCGCACCTATCAAATAACATGCCATCCCAGGAAGACGGTTATCTCCTCGATCTTGCTCTGAAGTTTGTTACAATCGAATTGAACGAGCTTCATGTGGTCCGCGAGACGTGTTGTTATGCGGGGTGTGAGGGAATCCAATCTCGCGTGGTGCGCAGACCTGAACATGCCCTAAAGTGCCACCAGCCAAGGCAGGTGTTGCACATGACTGATGTCACGTTACGGATTATTCAGGTCTGACACACCATGCAGATTGTAGGAACAACCAGGAGTAGGCGGCGGCGTGTGGGTGGTGGTGCGGTTGTGTCTTTTGTGTGGTCTGTCGTGGTGTTGGTGTGGTTTATTGTGTTGTTGTAGTGTTTGTGTTGAGCTGCTCAGGTGGACTGGGGTTAGCCGTGAAGGCTGCTCTCTTTGAGCAGATGGGGACACAAATGATGTGGTCCACTGCCGATGTGTCCGTAGGCCTGAGCAGACTCTGAGGTGACCCTGAGGTTAAGTGTGGCCGAACGCCGCCTACTGTAGAAAGAAGTTCTGCACAAAAATACTGTGCACAGCGTAGTCGGTGCTGGACATTTTATATTCATTTTCAAGATATTTGTATTTAAAAAAGGGCTGAATTTGACCTATGCTCCTTGGTAACTTCTGAGGTTTTCGTTTCCCACAGAAATAAAATATATACTTGCTGTAAAAACCTCTATGTTGTTGTTGTTGTAGCGGCTACAACAACCCCGCCCAGATCGGTTGATATCTCAACCGTTGTCGTCGAGTTCCACTAACGGCAGCCCCAAGAAGCGTGCAGCCTCTATTGGGTCGGTCCACAGGGACGACGCCGTTATGGTTGTAGGGTTTTCCAGGCATGCGAAGAGATGTTTCGAGTCGTGAGGGGTCTCTCCGCATGCCGGACATTCATTCGGCACATCCGCATATAGCCTACTCAGGTAGGAGTTTAGCCTGCTGCAATAGCTAGAGCGAAGTTGGGATATTGTTCGTCTGGTCTCCCGAGGCAGATGGAGCTCCGTCGCGTCAATGTCCGCTGTTTGTGTGTCTAGAACGGCATTCACAGGTCTAGAGTCCACATAACTCGAGACTGAGTCCCTGTGAATGCCGTTCAGGGCCTGTCGGTACGCTGACGGGTCCAGAGACTGATTAATGAACCTCTGGACTTCGTCCGTCAGTTCATATAGATGCCTCCTGACGTGCTTTGGCGAGGGCTCCTCTGCAAGCAGCTGTATATTTGGGTGGCCACATCTGTGGCTCCCAACCAAAAACTGCTTGCAGAGCATTGTGGTATGCTCCTTAACAGCGAGCATTTTCGCCTCGTCGTGCAGGTGGTATTCTGGCGACATCAGAAGGCATCCAATCGCTGTTCTAAGTGCAGTGTTTTGAGTCGTCTGTAGCTTCATCCACAGCGTCCTACTAGTCCCCGGCGTCCACACTGGTGCTGCGTAATTTAAAACCGGGCGGCATATTGCTTTGTATGTTGCCAGCAACATTTCTTTGTCTTTACCCCAAGCCCCCGCTAGGGCAGGCACCTTGTCGTTGGTGCGGGGGCTTAGCTGAATCATCAATCGGGACGCATCAGGAGGTGTCAGCACGCACGCATCAGCACCTCTCGGGTATG